ACATCACACCCACACTCACACAAGCCTGTGTCATAAAGTATCATTTATAAGTTACAGAAAGTAATCAGCAATTATAAGAATAGGAGGAAACTGATATTTTTCTAATATCTAAAAACCTGCACATACTTCAAAGTATGTCCATTGATGTCATTATATTACTAGAATTTTTATTAAGGTTTTGTGGTAGTTTGAGTGAAAAAGGCCCCATAGGCTCATAGGAACTGGTATTATTTGAAATGTGGCCTTTTGTGGTAAGTTGTCACTAGTGGTGGGCTCTGAGGTCTCAGTAGCTCAAGCCAATCCTGGTGGCACAGTCTTCACTTACTTCTGCCTGCCGATCTGGGCATAGAACTCTCAGCTACTTCTCCAGGCCCATGTCTGTCTGCATGCTGCCATGATTCCTGCCATGATGATAATGGACTATAACTCTGACCTGTAAGCCATCCCCAAATAAATTTTTCCTTTGTAAGAGTTGCTAGGGTTACAGTTTCTCTCCACAGCATTAAAAGCCCTAACTAAGACAGATTTAAGACTCTAAAACATTACAAAATTCAGTCATTATTTGATCAACTAAAATGTATGTAGTTTTTATAATAGTTACCATTGTTTACTACTGATATTCTAAAGTCAAATATACATGTCAGGTAATATAAATTCATATTTATGTGATTATATTAATAGACATCTTAAGATACTCAAATAAGTCTGCTTCCCTGTATGGTTCCTGTACCTTTCAGGATGGAACTCCTCAGGCTCTGGCCAGTATTTTGGATTTTGGTGAAGAACAAAGGTAGGTATGACCACCAATGTTCCTTTGGGAATGAACACACCATTGATTTCAACATCTTCCTTACTGAGTCTGTTGATCCTGGCAATAACTGGATATAATCTCATAGTTTCATTCACCACCATGTCTAGATATTCCATCTTTACCAGAGCTTCATAAGTGGCAGGTGCCTGGTAAGATTAAAAAAAAAAGATTCTGCTGATTTGAGATTCAAAACTAAATTTCATGTCAATCTATTCAGAACTATTAAGAACTATTAAGGTTTTAGGAACTCAACATTCAACCCAAGTTAATTATTGGATTTACCATTGATAAGTCCTATTCACCAGAGTCATGTGTGTTGACATACTGAAGGTCCACTGAAATACATGGTGAAGTGAATATGGAAGAATATTCACATAAGCTTACACTTAGGTCCCAAAGCTTCAGTTTTCCTTTGTACTGTTTTCCTTTTAAGTAGTAATGAATGGCATATCATGTCAGTCTCATTCAAAATACATCAGCTGTTGAGGTTGTGAAAACTTAATATAGGGAGGCCACGTGTCCAGACCGAGGAAATATAATGTGGGGAACATTAAATTCCTTTTCAAAATTCCATATCAATCCTTTCAGAGGACAACTCACAATGTTTAAATCCTATGACTAAATTTAAAATTACTATAGAAGTTCAATTTGGGAATCAATGCTAAATTAAACAGGAATAGTATA